TCAAAAACGCCTCAAATTCTCTTTACCAAGTCAGTATCATTATTATCACAATTATCCTTCCATCATTTCGCCAACTATCCTGTTCCATTGATGTTATCATCATCATCACCATCATCACCGTCGCCGCCACCAGCCCTCCTTCCCTCCCTCTCACGGCGCTCTCTCCTCCCCGGCAGATCGAAGGAACTGCTCCGCCAGGCGATCCTCGACAATGACTTCCTCAAGAACCTGGAGATGGCGCAGGTCAAGGAGATCGTCGAGTGCATGTACAGCGTGGAGTACGCGGCGGGCTCCCTCATCATCAAGGAAGGGGACATCGGCTCCATGCTCTACATCATGGAAGGTCAGGGCTCGGCTGCGCTTTGGTGCTGGTCTTACTTAGGATTATTAGTTAATTGCTTTTTATGTAGTTACATATATATATATATATATATATATATATATATATATATATATATATATATGTATATATATATATATATATATATATATATATATATATATTATATATATATATATATATATATATACACACACATATACATATATATATGTGTGTGTGTGTGTGTGTGTGTGTGTGGTGTGTGTGTGTGTGTGTGTGTAAGTGTTGCTTACTTAAATGTAATGGTTCCAGGGTTATTTTCGTTTGTAAGTTGGATCGGGAGTCTACTACGAGAAGTTTTTAATGTTTTCATATAAGAGAAATGAATGAATGGCAGTCAGTCAGAGTTTGTAGATTTTTGGGTTGGTTGAAGAGTAACTGCGCACTGATTGCACATGGCATGGAGTGATCGCCAAGGTGAGTTGCAATACCGAATTAATTCACGCTATTATAACTTGGTCATACTAACGATATGACAGTCTTATGGTCCGATAAGAGCAGACGACTAATCGCGTAAATCTGAATTGCTCTCTCGAAGGCGGAGGCCGCCTCGTCGAGGCGCTTACTTTGGGCGTGTGTGCAATACGCATGTGAGAAAGCATGTGTACGCGTTGACATGGCCATGGGCTCTTACACTGCACAGGATACTGACGCGCGCGCGCGCGCGCACACACACACACACACACACACACACACACACACACACACACACACACACACACACACACACACACACACACACACACCACACACACACACACACACACACACACACACACACACACACACACACACACACACACACACACACACACACACACACACACACACACACACACACACACACACACACACACACACACACACACACACACACACACACACACACACACACACACACACACACACACACACACACACACACACACACACACAGGCGCTGCCTGGAGCCGCGGGCGAGTGCAGTCTCATTCCCCTTCCCAAAGACGCCAACAGCAAAAACATTTGGGACACGAGATGGGATGATGTTTTCTGTTTCCTCTCGCTGCCGAGGCCTTGGAAGAGGTAATGGCGCTCCAGATTTCCCTTTGTGAGTTGATTGGGATGTGAAAAAAGGATACGAGGGAAGGAGGATGTGGTTCATCTGTTTTTCTCGCAGTTGTGATCGCTGTTTAAGTGAGTGTTCCCTTTTCGTGTTTTTTAACGTCTGAAGGTGGATTTTCTAGAATTACATGGGGAAATTATTCACTAAAATCATGATAGTCCTGGATATTTGTATTAGGATAATGACTTTCACATTAAATTTGTGGATTATTTATTCCTTCATCTATGTTTGGTATGGAAGTCTGCCGAGGGAGGAGAAGCGACGCGTCCCTCACTCCTTTTCTTTGCTTCTCTTGTCGACGTCTTTCCCGAAGGCTTTCCCCCCCGGCCTCCCCCTCAGCACCCGCCGAAGAAGTCCGCGGGGAGGTCCTGGATGGGCGTCCCTGCGACCTCGCCGTTGCTGCACACGGCATTCCTGACGAAGGGCGAGAGCGTGGCGTCCTGGGCGATCCACTGCACGGCGCAGTCGCACTCCAGCGGGTTCTTGTTCAGGTCGACGTAGTGCACGAGGGCCGTCGACGAGGCCATGTTCTCCAGCAAGGGGCGGAAAGTGGCCTGGCAGGGGAGGGAGGAGGCCAGAGCTGCTAAGTTATGGATTTGGTTGTATTTTATCCAGACGGAGGGAGCTTCGGGAGGGAGGTGTGGCCGGGCGGAGATGGATGGGCTGGTTGCGCGAAAGGGGCTCCAGATGGCCGGTTGGAAAGGGGAGGGGACAGGCTGGGGGGGGGGGTGAAAGGCGACTCGAGGCAAAGGGCCTTCGGGGCTTGATGCCGTTGCGCGTCGGAAAGTGGAAGCGGCCCTTCGCGTCGGATTTGCCCGTTCGCTCGGGGAAAAGGTTTGAAACTGAATTCACAGTTATTTTGTTCAAATATATGGGACACCTAAGCCTATTTGTAGAAATTTTCTTCTTAGAAAAAATAATGAATTTTCACATTCTATGAAAAAATGCCACGTGATATGTGTTCGCGGGTGAAGACATATCGCCATGTGAGTATAGACCTAATTTACCTGATGGAGTCACGATAAACAAGAGGATGAAATATATTTTTACTACTAGAAAGACAATCTGTGATACAGGCTTTGTTTAGACCGTCGTCATGCTCTCCTTTTTTACTTTTTTTTTTTAGCTTTTTAAATGAAGTAAACTCTTAACTCCATTACAGAGACGACAGTTCCCGCGTCGTGTCATCCGTGGCAACATGACCGCGCGCTGGCGAGGCGCTGGGAGAAGTCTTGTGCTTCAGTCCTGCGTTTGGCCTTTTTTTCTCGCGCGTTGGCTATTATATTTCGTCTTTTTCCTTCTCTTCCCTTTCCCACTTTCTCCTCCCCTCCATTCCTGCATCGCCTCCCCCGCCCACCTCCCACATCCCCCTCTCTAACTTCTCTCCTCCTCGCCTTCTCTCCTCTCTTTCTCTCTTTCTCTGTCTACCCTTTTCTCCTTCTCTACATGTTTCCCCGCCCTTCTTCCTCTCCGTTTCCCCTTCCTTTTCCCTCTTTCCCCTGCCCCCTCTCCCTCTGTCCGCACAGTCCCCTCACTCTCACCCTCGGTCTCACCCTCCCCTTCCATTATCGGGCTCCTTCCCAGACATCAGTGTACTATACCTCATGGGCTTTGCCCAGCACCCGTGGGCGTGAGGCGGCGACCATGATCCTGTTGCAGATCAAGGTCTTGATGGGCGGGGTTCCAAGGAGGGGCGTGGGGGGGAGATGGGGAGGGGCTGAGGAAAGGCTCCAGGTTTCGAATAAGACGAAGACATGCTGAAAATATTTCTATGTGCACGTCACTTACTTATTGATATTGTTTCTGTTATTATTATTAATGTGATTATTACTGATATAATTATTACTGGTGTTAGTATTAATATCAGTATTATTTGGGAGAGCTCGAGGCAGCCTGGGGAGAGGGGAAGGACCGGCCAAGGGTGAGAAGGAGGCGAAGGAAAGGGGGAAGGCGGGGCGCGGAGCTCCTTACCTCAGGGATGGACGTCATCTTGTTGCCGTTGAGGAAGAGGCCGGCGGGGAGCGAGCCGGAGAACGCCCCTGGGGAGATGTCAGCGATGTCACAGTTGTCCAGGTAGAGCACCCACGGCCTGCGAGAGGGAAGAGAAAGGGGAGAAAAGAGCGATAAATGAGGGGAGAGAGAGGCGAGGGGAGAAAAGAGGGAAGAGAGGAGAGGAAGGAGGAAGAATGGGAAGAAAAAGCGAGGGAAAGGAAGGGGAAGAGGCAAGGAAGAAAGTGGATAGGGTGAGGGTGAAGGGAGTAGGGGTAGGACGGGACAGAAAATGAGAGGAAAAGCGAGGATTAGTTAGTTGAATGTCAAAATTGTTGCTTTTGCGGCTCGTTTCTAGTAAGAATGTCGTTGAAGGTTCCAATTATTGCGTGTAAAACTTTTTAAGGCTTCGTTAAATGTTTGCATAATTTTGGCAACAAGTTCAGGAATAATGTAGTTAAACTAATAATTATTTCGCTTAGAGCTTTCGCGTGAGCGCTTGTAGTGGACCTTTGCAATGTGAACTCGCATGCCATGTTGCTCCTTGTTGCAGCCTTGGATCCTGCCATTTCACCCTCATCCCTCGCGGTAACTGTCCGATCTTTGTATCTCAAAGGGAAACGCGCGCGCACACACACTCACACTCGCACACTAACTCACTCGCACGTCCGTCTTGTCACAATAGCCCCGTTATCCAACGCAACACAAATTGAGAAAAACTCAATCTGAACACTTTTAGATTTCACTATTCCTTGGATCTGCAATTTGCCCTCGCTCCCTGTCATCTGTAACACTTCTGAAGCGTTGCTTAGGGTGATAAAACACTCCATTTAAGTGTGTTTATCACCCTGAAGAACACGAATTAGCTCCTCGTCCTCATCTTCTTCAGTTTGGGATATTTTTATAACAGAGAGCGAGAGCGAGAGCGAGAGCGAGAGAGCAAGAGAGCAAGAGAGCGAGAGCGAGAGAGCGAGAGAGAAGAGAGAGAGAGCAAGAGAGCAAGAGAGCAGAGCAGAGAGAGAGAGCAGAAGAGCAAGAGAGCAAGACAAGAGAGCGAGAACGAGAACGAGAACGAGAACGAGACGAGACGAGAACGAGAACGAGAACGAGAACGAGAACGAGAAGAGCGAGAGCGAGAAGAGCGAGAAGCGAGAGCGAGAGCGAGAGAGAGAGCGAGAGCGAGAGCGAGAGCGAGAGCGAGAGCGAGAGCGAGAGCGAGAGCGAGAGCGAGAGCGAGACGAGAGCGAGCGAGAGCGAGAGCGAGAGCGAGCGAGCGAGAGCGAGAGCGAGAGCGAGAGCGAGAGCGAGAGCGAGAGCGAGAGCGAGAGCGAGAGCGAGAGCGAGAGCGAGAGCGAGAGCGAGAGCGAGAGCGAGAGCGAGAGCGAGAGCGAGAGAGAGCGAGAGCGGAGAGAGCGAGAGCGAGAGAGAGAGAGAGAGAGAGAGAGAGAGAGAGAGAGAGAATGGGTCAGTGAGTGACTGAGAGTGAGTTGGCGTGTATGGTTCTACCACTCAGCGCATACATGCACGTAAGTATATTTGCTTGTATCTCTGCTTTCGCGTGCGTGCATGTCAGTTTGATAGACCTGAATAACCTGTCCTGCTTTTTTGTTTTACTTTTTCTATATAAAGATCCGGTTTTATATATAAGCGAAGGTCGGATTTAACGGTATCTCGCATCGAGAGTCGCAGCGCCTCGACAGCTGAGCAAGCAAACGCCTCCCTTGATCGGAAATAAAAACACGAGTTGAATTACGAAGGTGTAAGCAAGCAAGAGGGGGGGGGGGTGCAGAGGAAGCAGAGGGAAATGAGAGTTGGGGGTGGGAGGAGAAAGGTGAAGAGGGAGAAGAGGGGAGTTGGAGAGATGTGGAGAGGGAGAATCTTTCAATCTTTCACGTATTGCCCCTGTGACGTCACGTTATAGGCGTTCTTCTGAGTCCTTTGTCATTGCAGCTCGGAAGGGGTTGGTTGGGGGGGGACGTGAGTCTCTTAACAGTAATCTGGTGCTTCAGAATTTTTGTGGTAACTTTTGCAACCGTTATTTTGATTTTTATGATATTTATATGCCCATAATGGTGGTTTCCTCTTTTTTTTAGATGATCTAGTTCTAGTTTGTTTGGTTTTCGCTCTCGCCTCCCCTCCTCTTCCAGTATATCCCCTCTCTCCTCTTCCAGGATTTCCTACTTCCATATCTTTCTCAATAGTTTTTTTTTTAAGAACCATGTCCCATCATTCGTTTTGCCTTTTTTGTCGGAGATTAAATACGGCGTTTAATCGAGA